AATTCAAAAGTTTACTATTTCGACGACAAGAACGTACGGTTGCTCCGACGGCAAAAATGACGTAACAAACGATACAACAACCTATAGTTATTGCTTGGGAACTATCGTACATCATAAGCTATTATTTTTCGATTGAAACAAATTTATTTTCAACTTACAAAAAATAAAATATGCTTCAAGCGTAAAATCATGAAGCTTTTTCCTTCAAGACGAAGAAAAATAATGATGAGTAAAACAAATATGAAATTCAACTGTATTATTTTAAAAAAACCGAGATATAGATATTGCTTTGTATATTATGATGGTGAATATAATTTCCAGGAAATTAGTCAATGTTGAGAAGCATCATAGAAAGACATTTTTTTTTGCATACAGTCGGGAAAACTAGAGTATGAGTTTCATCTAAAGAATTCTTGTAACAACGTGTTCAATATTAGTTTATTATAGCTCCTCCTTTAAATAGAATTGAACGCTTTTCCATAAAAATATTTTGCTTCATGAACGCTGAAAGGTATTTTGCTAAATTGAAGGCAACATGTCTAAAGTTTAAGCAACATATACCTAGGTGTTCATCCTTAAACTGCTTTCTGAGCAAGATGAAAAACATATCTTAAACGCATCGCGTATAGTTTTTTTCTCCACTACAATGAATTCCTAAGAGCAGTTCCAACCCATTGTTTTTATCTAAATCGTATTATAGCTTTTTCAAATTTATCTTTGATTATAATTTACTTATTGAATAGATTAATAATCAGTTAAGCTTTTTTTTTATTTATCAACATTTGTTACAATAAGAAAGATTTAATGGGAACAGTATCTTAGTTTGTAACTTTTTTAAAATAAAGCTAAACCATATAGAAATAGTCTTTAATGACACTATTAGAGCAGCATTAATCCTTTGGCCGTCATCGACGCATACATACGTCAAGAGTCTTATCTTCGCATGAACTAAAGTAATCACTCATAATGTATACTTGTCAAAAGTATTTACGTAAAAACGAACGTTAGAAACCATGGGCTTCCCAAATCATCATTTTATTAAGGTATACTATAGGATTGTTCCCTAAAAAAGGATGTGGGGTGTGGGTGTGTCGCTTGGTGCGCATGTTGGTCTTTCCGCAATAAACATCGCACCCGCACCCGCACCCATCCCCAGATCCACACCCACACCCACACCCACACCAACCCAAAAAGTATATCTTGTCCTACATGTTCAATTGCAGTTTTCAAAAAGCTTCGTACGGAATTTACATCAAATCTTAACTGAATCTACTGATAAATTCAATGTACTGTAAGACAAAATAGAAAATTAGAATATGTACACTCCTTCAGTATTTTAATAACTTATTAAAAGAGTATATTTCTTCACAATATTTGTTCATTCTTATTGAAGAAATGGAGTACTTTAAATAAAGCAAAGAAAACTATATGTGTTTTTATGATGTATCTGTTGTGAAAATGTGATTTTGATAAGTATAAGATGAAGTTTCAACCGTAAAGGAAAATTTGAACATTTTCAGGAATTCTTATTCTTCCACACTTTCAAGGAAAAAAATATCGAAAATTGATTCGTATAACACAATCTTATCTCCTGCTTGCTGATTTCCAAGTTACCTGAGATTTTCAGAAACTTGAGTAATATCATTCGTAAAAAAAAGCTTTAAAAAAACCTTAAAAAATAGTCTCTCAAAAGTATTAAAAATCTGCAAAGTTGTTATAGTGTCGACTATGTTTCTCTACAGTCCCTTCGATTTTTACTATGGCTTTTATGGCTAATGATAGACCATGATTAGGTGCTATTTTTGAGAAAAAAAATCACGTTGTTGCCACTAGGTCTTCTAGGATAACGACAGACCACAAAGATATCAAGATAATTGAAATTCTTGATTTTTAGTGATTGTTCGATTAAAAGTTTTGATATTTTCAATAAAAAAAAAAATTCTTTCCTTGTGTAAGACAAAAAACGAAATGAGTCAAAATGTAGAACGAGGAAAGCTCTATAAAACTATGTAAGACAATAAATGTCATCGTGTTCTGGTTACGAATAATAAAGGATAATTTTCATACCATACGATAAACTTTTGAACTTAAATATTTTATAGCATTTCCTCGATATTCTATATGGAAGAAATTCCTGAAACTGAATAGGAAAAATTTTAGTTTCTATACCATTTCTGCAAAACCCTGCATTTGGTTTTTCAAAATGGATATGCCGATGAAATCGCACAGGATCCTTTCTAGATATCTCTTCGGTCATTGAAAACTTTACGAACGAGAAATATATCAAAAATACTACAAGCTATTCAAGATTACATTTCATTAAATGGATTCTTGCGAACCTGGACAGAGCACAGTGAAAAATATATAGGCAGACTAGTTTACACAGCCTTAAGTCTTACCTGATCAATTTTTGGGAATTCGAAAACCGAAAAAATTGAAAGTTTGGGACAAGAAAGTGTTCTCATGAAGTTTGGTTAAGATATACCTAATCACCACACCCAAATGCTTAGAACTAGATATCGTTTCGGTTTAATTTCGAAAAACAACTTTTGATTTGTTCCGATCACACCGCACCCATAACTCGGAGATCAAAAGTTTTCGTTTATCGAACTTGAATATTCTGAGATACTTCCAATACCCAGACTTTAATCGATTCCAAATATGTATGTTTTGTTGTGTAACTTTTTTGATTCGAGAAATGGCCTTAATATCACTTGTCCTTTTATAATGTATATCATAGGATCCTCTGAGAAGATGTCACTTTAGAGTTTTGCGATTCCGAAAAATATTCGATTTAGAACTGAGATATTTATCAATTTCTCGTATCCAGAATCATAGGAACCAATAACTTTTTATCATCATTGGCGGGATTTATGCATTTTATTCTTCTGTGTCTCAGGCATAACCAAAATTTTCATCAATTTACAACATGAAACCCTATTCGCATTGAAAAATACTAAAGCAATAACTAATTGACTTCTACTTCTACTATAATTAAAAATTCGTCAATTATTTTCGTACGCTTCTTCTTTCTGTTTTTTTCATGCTGATTTTATCAACATGTGAAAACTGTTTACGTACAATTCTGAATTATAATATCAAGAACAGTGCATTAAAATATCTACAACAGTAATTCAGAAATTCGAAAAAAGTTTTCGAAATCAATATTGACTTTTTGGAAAATAATAATGACAAAAAATTATAGAAAATGATGATATTGATTCATTTTCAAACTGACTCATAGAACAAGCAATTCTAATATGATCACTTTACATTAAAAGGATTCTTCTGCATGTTTAAAAGAAATTCGTCTTTTAAAAGGTAATATGTAAGAACAATCTTGAAAGAAGAAGTATTGGCAATTCTGAAAAAAGAAATAACTTAGGTTGTTGCTTGGTATTCCATATAAGATAAACCATTCTGGTGCCCATCTTTCAAAATTCACATTTCAGCTGCTCTTTTTTTAGCCGTCTTTTCGAAATTACAGACTTCTAAACGATTTATATTCGTATTTGTTGATTGTTGTTGTTTGAAAGCAATGAATATGTGCACATTCTGGTGTTGTTTTTCTTTGAGTAGATCAAACTTTTCCCGAGTGTCAACAAAAAAAAACCCAAATGATCGCAAACTACAGAAAGAGAAAGATAAACAAAATCCAACGAGTGTTGAAGGAATGATTCATGAGGTTGTATCATGTGGGACAAACTCCAATCAGAGTTCAATAAAAGCAAAACTTGTTGTGGATTCAATGGTATTCAACACAGCTATTGGAACAAAGAAAGTGAGTGAAAATTGAATCTTTGAGTTGTATTTTTATAGAAGAGATTCTAATCGAAATTCTTATGTAATTAATATAAAAAACCTTCCTAGTAAAATTCCATGTGGAACTAAAATGTAATACTTACAAACTTTGACTAACATAAAAATATCGCCCAATGTCACAAGGATAAAAATAAATTATGAACAAGAGCCCCAAATGCACAGCTGATAGACTAACTTTAAAATTTAACCATTTCGTAAATGATTGTTTTTAGTTTTCCTATTCTAACAGTTTATTAGATTTATTTAACATCATTATATAGAAAAAAATTCATTGATATTGTTTAAATCACAGATGCGATAGGAAACACCAAATATCTCTTTATTTACCTTTTTTTCTTCGGTGTAACTATGTTATTTACTTAATCATTTAGTATATATCCTACTGAATTTCTCTTTCTCTAGACGAGCTTTGAAAAATACTTTCTGCGTTTTTCTTAAATTTTAAATTCACTTCCTTCAAAATTATCAAGGTTCAGCCTACATTGTTAGTCTTCTGGGTCAATAATACCAATGTCTTTCTGATCGACTTATACACTGGATTAAATACCAAAATTTACAATATTTAGATCACTAATTCAGATCTAAAGAGTCGCAGAAAGATCCAAGATCTGTGATAATTGACCTTTCTTGTCCGTTTTGCTAGACCTTAGCGGAATCATAAAAATCTTGACTTGAACTCACGCTCATCATTTTCTTCGTAGTACATCTATGTATTGTTTTTTTTCTCACTGAACCTAATGCTAACAATATTCAATTTACTTCAATATACTTTTGCATAATAAAATACATTCTCCATTCATAGAAAATGCTAAGAAAAAGTCCTATCTTCATTCGATTGATTGTATAATAGTAGATTTTAGTTATATAGCATAGACTTGCGATCTAAAAAAGTATGGCAGTATTCATTGTTCCTTATCATTCATCCCACAATAATGGATAGATAATTGAGTTTTCTAGATATTGGACTCTATTATGTTCTTACTGATCATTCTAATTATGGTAGACAGTCATATAATAAAATGAGAATTGTTAAGATACAACAAATCAATGGAATTAAATTAAACTCGTTCAACTAAATATCAATAATTGTCACAGTTTTTTTTCTTTGCAGCACAGTTCAAGAATAGATATCATCAACACATATCAATCATTAGTTAAACAAAATCGCCACAAAATACATGGAAACTCAATCAAACGAACGTCAGCTTATTCTATTTGATGGAGACGATCGTCGAATGGATTTATTCAATGATATTAAACACCTATCAAAAATTCCATCTAGCTGTGAATTCTATATTTTTTGCAGTGAAACAGATCCGATTTTATATAAAGTCTTGAACCATATAAGTGATGTTTCACAAGTACGCGTCCGAAGATCATCCGAACCCATTAGTCAACGATTGATAGAATTTCTTGAAGAAAATATTAACAGATATACATTTATTCTCATTGTGTGTAGTTCTGAACCATCCTATAAACATGTCTTCAAACAAATTTGGAAAATATATAAACATAGGAAATTATTTGTCATGGAAATCAATAACTTATTCAATATCACAGTAAAAGATATTCTCATTCATCTTCGTCAACATGGAAACAAATCAAATAATATACAAGTCAATGAACATGATCAATCTTTACAATTATTGAATTCGATCGATAGTCAACAAATAAACGCGACGAATGATAATGATTCATATATACATCAAGTTTTTCATATTCAACCATCACCACATGTTGAGTATAAAAAGAAAAATAAGAAAAATATCGAATTATTTGTTGTATGTGAAATTCATTGTCCATTTTGTAACGAAGATTTTCCATCAAAAAATACTTTAAAAAAATACATCTCAGCAACATGTCCAGATATGACACCGTATGATGATGAATGGAACATGTTAAGATTTTCGTTTCAATGAGTCATGCATATTCATCATATAAATTCAATATCAATATAATTATTTTTTTTCACTTTTTTTTGTATATTTTTTTTTCTACATTTGTCAATAGAGATCTTTGCATGATTATTAAAGACGTTTTGAATTTTGCTTATTTTCGAAAAAGAATTATGTTGGCAAGTGTTAAACAATAATTCTTTCAAATTTGATTCTTTGAACTTAAGTATTTTTATGAAATTCATTTGATCTTTCTAAACATTATCCATCGAACTTACCATGTTGTTGACAATTTCCATGGATGAATGACTTTTGTTAGACTCTCATGAACCCTTTTCGTCATTGTACTTATTCGGAATTGAACTTTGATTGAAAGCATGTTAAAATCGAATTTTATTCCAATTTATCGGATTATGCGTATATGATTTATTACTTGGTAAATCTTATTGATGAGAGATGAAATATAAAATGATAAGAAAATATTCATTTGAAATACGTTTTGTATATTTTCAAAGTCTACAAAGACTTCTGCAAAAAAATACAAGAAACAAATCAAATAAGCAGATAATAATAATAGTATGCAAAAATTTCGGACCAAAACCGATCCATCTTCAGTGTAAGTATATTTCGTGTCTATTCAACTGCATTTCATCGAATTATGTCGAAAAAGTATTGCTCGAATAGGATTTTCATATTGAACAAAAATCAACAAAATGCAGTACAATAAGTACTAAATAATCTTGCACCGAAGATGGATTGATTTTGGTCCGAAAGCTTTGCATATTATTATCTAACTCTGCTCATTGGATTTGATTAATTGTGGGTGTGGATAAGGATATGGCTATGATGAAGAGAAGAACATTCATATCCATACTCACACGCGCACTCACACCCTTATGTAATCTGACAACTACCCGGAGTACGAGCCTCTTTCAAGGATGACATTCTGATTACAGATCAGATATAATATGATTTCTTCGAAGCTAGAAGCTTAGCAAAAATCCTATTTGTTCTAGCGAACGCTCTAGCAAACAATATTGCCAAACAGGTGTGCTAGTAAACATACGGGTTTCTAATAGAATTTTTAAAAGTATGACGCGTTTTCATCCGTGATCTTTCAAAAGATTAAATATAATCTCCTTTTTTTTGGATGCCTGCGGGTACTGCTGCTGTAGTGTAGTTCATTGAGATTTCAGTTGAGTATTAATGTTTGGATATCAGTTTGATTAGATGAATTTATGACAAAAATGATCACGCGAACCCACATACCATTGTGGATCACAAAGCTGACGCTGAAATGAATGTCTACACACCTATCCACCCTTTGGAAACGTCGGATACTACTTAGGGCATATCAAAGGTAGCGGCAATAACACTTTAATACCGTATAGTGGACTTAAAGACTCTTTCTTTCTACATAGCCTGACAGAGAAAGAAAAGCTTCATCTTTCTATGCTTTTTGATCATGTTGCAACTAATAGCATAATAATAAAATCTCCATGAAATCTATTTTGTTTTGATGTGTCACTGTTCTATGAATATTTATTGATAGAAATAAGATAGAAAAGTACGGTTTTCACCGTTGGAAAGAAGAGGAGAAGATGCATTGAATCGTGTATTCCAGGCTTTTCTAATATTGATTACTGAGCTGTTTCTATTAAATTTTATAACAGTCGGAAAACATTTTTGTATGAAAAAAGGAAAAAGCATAAACGTGAGCTTTTTTCACAGATTTCGCTATAGAATAATACAAGAGGATCAGCTGGAATGCACAGTATTCATTTAAGCCTGCTGCACTTTGTAGAGCTTCGATTAGTGATTTGGATTTATACTTGATACTTGAAAATTCACTGTAAACAACTAACCACATCAGCTCGTTTTAAAAAGATCAAATGTGAAAACCTTAGAAAAAGCAGATCAGGAAAACCTGCAAGATACGATTCGATGCGTCTTCATCTTTTCCTTTCAACGGTGAAAACGATACTTCTCTATCTTATTTTAATCAATAGTTATTATAAAAATATTCAGTCATTTTATTTAAAATGATTATTAAAACAACCGCCACATATGATAGCGAAACACATCTTATCGATATTCTATGATTATGCTATGAGCTGCACTCTGATCAAACATCATAAAAAAAGAGAGTTTTTCTTTCTCTATCAGACTATATGAAAAGGAAGTTTCTTTAAGTCTACTATTCGGTATTAAAGTATCACTGTCACTACTTTTGGCCACTATGGTAGAGTGGTTAAGTTGATCGACACATTTTCACAAGGTGCTGTGTTCGGACCTCGGCACTACCGGACATAAAATGACCTTGGACAAGTCAGTAACAATTGTTTGTCTGGGATTACCTGCCCGATAGCACACTGATTATGTGACTGGCATACACAGGAATCCTCCGTGGCTAGTATGTGGTTAATCAGTATGTATGGAGTGATTAAGTAGAAAAACTCTGAGTCAAGCCGGCCTTCTGTCTAGAGCTATAGCTAGTAATAGTTGTAGCAAAAATATCGGGCTTTTGAAATTGTCTCCGGGCAACACCCTATACTGCAAGTTAGCTGAAAGGCAGGATAGTTTTCTTTACTACTTTTGGTATGCCCTAAATAGCTTTGCTGAAGACCGTGATGCAGTATATAACGGTAATGGAGGCAAGTATTCAGTCGAGGGTCAAGCGAGTCGTAACGACGAGCGTTACTTGTTATTATAGGTGTGAAATGGTCCGAAACTATTATTCTTCATAAGAAGTTGTAACCTCAATATCAGAACAATTGATGATGTAGAGTGTTTTCTGGAAACATCTGTCTACAGAAAGCACATATGCGCAAATGATCATTTTCTGGCCAGCTGTTTTTACTTGAAAATTTCTTTTTAGTAAGACTGTGAGCATGACTGCAGATAGAAGAGTCAATATTGTTCTTCCAACACGACAAAAAATTTTCAGTATTTGCCATGCTCCTCTCCAGCAATATGAGGGGGCGACCGAGATTTTTGTTTTTTGCAAGCACAATGTTGGTCATTCTATCTGCAGTCATGTTTGAACTCTTGATAGAAAAGAATATTCAATTAAAACTGGTCAGTCAGAAAAGAGTTATGTGTGCATATGTGCTTTATGTAAACAGATATTTGCAGCAAACTGCCTAAATCTGCTCGCTTTTTGCAATTAAGACTGCAATCTCTTTTAAGGAATGACAGTTTCTGATCGACTTCCATCTAACTAAGGCAAAAAAGCTCGCAAAAAACTTTCCAAGCAAAGTGGTTGACTACCCATGGTTGTGCCCTATCATTGCAAAAAATAAGCGTAGAATAATAAAGCCTTCAAAAGGTTTTATTAAACTCATAAACCCTTTCATATACTCTTTTAGTTCATAGACCCTAGGAAGGGTATTTTATACGTTGCACTTTCATAAACCCTTTAGGGTATATGAGCCATAATATACCCTTAACAGTTTTATTAACTTCATAAACCCTTCGGAAAAGGGGTTTTTATTCTACGACTTCTAAAGCATATATTAATAAACCCTCATCCGAAGGGTTTATGAAGTTAATAAACCTTTTAAGGGTATATTACAGCTCATATGCCCTTAAGGATTTATGAAAGTGCAACGTGGGTATGGGTGTGTCGATGTTAGTGTGGGTGTGGATGTGTCGAAATGGGCGTGCGGTGTTGGTGGGTGTGGGTGTCTGTGTTTCACTGATACCCACACCCATGCTCACACACACACAAACACACTCAATCTCACCCACATCAACCCCTTGGTCCGATAAATCGGTTTAGACTGGTAGATCGGTCAGATCAACTTTTTTTGTTAAAGCAGTTTGGACAGTTCGGACTGGTTTTTGCCAGTTGATCGGTTCCATCTCTGCCATGAAGTAAACTAGAATCATTTAGAATTAACTGAAGTCAATCAGCATTAGTAGATTAACTCTATTCCATCTTGATTTCTCTTTCACTCAGGAATAATGGCTTTTATTTGAAGCACACAATAAAAGATGATAGCATATAAAGAAATTGATGGTAAATATTTCTACATTATAGTTCAAAGTATCGCCTGGCTAATACTTGATCATGTAGGGAATCGCAATTGATGGCTGCATATTATTGTGTGGAGCTCCATCACCTACTAGCTGAATTTTGATGCCTGTTGGAGATTTCAGAGTAGGTGGATTATTTGTCACGCCGCCGTTACTGACTCCATAGCAATACTGCTGATTTCCAACACTGATGTCTTAAGTTTGATCTCGTGTAGGACTACTCATGTCATGACTGTGTCCTGGATCATTCACTGGATGAGTATGAGTCGGCATTTCGCTCTCAGTAAGGATATGCTGTTCAGATCCAAATTTGTTACGTAGCCTTCGATCAGTAAGACCCACTCCTTTGCCAGTACCAACAATTACTCGGCCACGGAGATCAGGCAAGTTGAACGTATCAGTGTGCTCTCCAGGGCCGTAGAAATCACCAATAACTCTAAAAAGATCTGGGTACTCTCGGCGACGTACAGAGGATCCGTCTGTCTTCAACCAACCATCCGGAATTGCGGTGCCTGCAAACGCCAAAATTGTTCCTGGCGGTATTTGGAACTGGTCTGAGTTGGGTGTGGGTGTGAGTGTGGGTGTGTGAGTGTGGGTGTGTGAGTGTGGGTAGGTGTGGGTGTCGGTGAAGAAAACATACCGACACCCACATCTAGACTGCACACCCACCTCCACAGATAGATTTTAAAGATAAAAGAAACAACAAATGAATAAATATGCTATAGTTATGTAAGAAATCAATGGTTATGATTATATAGAGAATGATATCTATTGACTTTGCTAAGATTGAAAATATATAATTGATCTAACTTTATCGAAAATAAAATTTTTAATTTAAAGAGAAAAAACTTACGAAATAAATGACGAATTCGACTTGTAAAAATAGTCGATTTCATTCAATAAAAACAACATAAAATAACATCATCTTGATCTAACAGAAATAAATTTCATATAATAAGTGATTTATTTATTAATAATCAATGTGA